TAGGGTGCCTAATACTTTTGTCCGTGGCTGTATATAGAAGATTATAAAGCTGAAGAGTTTGTTTGTTTGTTTGTTTGAAAGCGCTAATCTCCGAAACTACTGGTTCGAATTGAATAATTCTTTTTGTGTTGGATAGTCCAGTTATCGAGAAAGGCTGTGGGCTGTATAACATCACGCTACGACCAATAGGAGCAAAGATATACTGGTAAATGTGTAAAAAACGGGAGAAATTATTTCATCTTTGAAGCCTTCCGTTGCGTGCGCCATGAAAACGGTTCAAGATACACAAAAAATATGTATGAAAGAATAATAGCTCTTTTAATGATCTAAAAAACAGTCCGCGACAGTATATGTCTATCTTTTAAGATTAACTCACAAAAACCGTTTTTATGGTACCTAATTTGGTCGAAATAAATTGTTTAAGTTGTATCAACATAATAATATTAATCTTTATTCAAATAAACAAATAAATATGTTGTTGGTTAAGAGTACTTCGTTGTGAATAAAAAAACATAGGTTTTATCCTGAAAACTCTACGGGAACTCGACCATTCCGAAAACCCCGCAAGAACGGGAACTATGTGGGAAGAACCAAAAATCTGCTGGAAGTCACTATTCCACGCGGACGTAGTCGCGGCAAAAGCTAGTATCTCAATAAATTGTATGTGATAGACTAGAAGAAGTTCTCTTTAATCCTTACTAATATTATAAATGCGAAAGTAACTCTGTCTGTTTGTTACGCTTTCACGCCTAAACCATTGAACTGATTTTAATGAAACTTGGTACAGAAATAGAGTTGACCTTGGGAAAGAACAGGATAGTTTTTATCCCAGACTTTTGAAAGGTTCTCTTGGAAACGCGATATAATCGGACTTCACGCGAGCGAAGCTGCGGGCGGAAAGCTAGTTAATTATATCCAGAAGTAGATGGCATCAGAACAAACCCCACTTTATACGAGTTTGATAATGTTTATTATCCAACTATGTAATAGCTTTCTCTTTACAAAAACAAACTATTTTCCTCGCCTATTATTTCTATCGTCTATTAAATGTAGATAAGATTACAAGATAAGAATACAAGTGCTCTTCAGAACATTAAGTTATCTTTCTAGTTTTTGTTAAAATTTATCATTTTTTCTCCTGCCATGTACGGTAGTAATAATTTATCATTTGAATACTTGAAAGTTGTGGTCATTTTCGAAAATAAAATAAAAAATTTAAATCATCGAGAAAAAATTGTATCTCTCAGAGACTTCAAGTAACAAAAACTATAGTTTTTCCTATTGCCTAATGATATTTTTTAACACGCTTTTATTAGCTTGGGTTGTATGTATGTATGTATGTACATATACATGGGTGCTTGATATTGAATGTTACAATAATTCTAGTGGCAACTATCTATAAGAGGAAAGATGTGTTATGAAGTCAAATGCACCCAACTCTAAACTATGAATTAAATTGACAAGATGGACAAAAATGGAAGGATGTAATTTCGAAATGCGTTTCAACCAGAAACCCACCTAATTAATATTTATAATAATATACCTACTAATATAATAATTATTGAGTCAGTGGTGGCCTAGTGGTTAAAAGACCTGCTTCTCATACATGAGAGCACGCGTTCGATCCTGGCAAGTACCTATATTATTTTTCCGAGTCATATGTACCTACTTTGTATTTAGACATCACTGATTAATGCATTCCCAAAGAGAGTTGATGTCAGGCAGGCGGCCGGTCATAAAAACAATTAGCCAAAACTATTCACAACATGTAAGGCAGACCCTGGTTAAAGCTGGGAAATTGCCAGATAGAAAAAGATACTAGTATAATTATTCCAGTATGAATACGTTAGTTCAACCCGATCGATGTCAGTGCACCAGATATATAGATATTGATGGAACAATTAAACTCTCTATAAAATTAAATAAAGACAGCACTAGAAACAAATGAAAACTGAATCGAGTATCGGGTATTAATTTTTTATGTATTAACTGACCCGGCAAACTATGTTTTGCAATATAAAAAAATAGGGGTTGTTGATAAAAAAGTAAAAAAAGTAAAAAAATAAAAACAAAATATTTCGTCCGAAAAAAAAAAATTAAGGGTGAACAACCATTTGACTTAGGGGTATGAAAAATAGATGTTGGCCGATTCTCAGACCTACTCGATATGCTCACAAAATTTCATCAAAATCGATCCAGCCGTTTCGGAGGAGTATTGGAACGAACATTGTGATTTGTGACGCGAGAATTTTTCATATATAAAATTAAATACATATATGAGAAAGTTTGTAAAGATGTATGTGTTGCTATTTCATATAAAGCTACTTAACAAATTTTGATTACTGTTGTACAGTTTACAGTAGTGTATTTTAGATATGATTTATCTCGGAATTCTATGTGGTTCTCACGGGATCAAGGCATAACAGTTGTTATATGTATGGAGTCTCGTGATAGAGACATGGCAATGCTGACAGATTACATGTATATTGTTTTAGTCTTTAGAACAGTGTATATATTACATTATATAGTTCACGTAAACAAAGTCGCGGACAAAGACTAGTATATATGTCGAAGAAGTTATATTTATATTGCATTCTACGTGTGGGAGCCTAATAATGAATCAAAGCCGATAGATCCGATACGGTCATTCTGGCAAGCGGCGAGTCCTATGCAGCCGATTGAGTGGTCATTTGTAGTTTTTGAATAACATGACGTCAGCATTACTGATGTCACCAATGCCTTGTACTTGATTATCGTCAATCTCTCAGGATTGAGGGCAACCTCTTAAATCTTTCGATGAATCCCTACTAATATTATAAATGCGAAAGTAACTCTGTCTGTGTGTCTGTTACGCTTTCACGCTTAAACCACTGAACTGATTTTAATGAAATTTGGTACACAGATAGAGGTGACCTTGAGAAAGAACATAGCATAGTTTTTATCACAAACTTTTGAATGGTTCTCTTGGAAACGCGATATAACCGAACTCCACGCGGGCGAAGCTGCTGGCGGAAAGCTAGTTCTTTATACGAAGAGATTCGGCCGCTACAACGTATCGAGCGGGAATGTCTCTAATCCGAACAATCGCCTCTATTTATACTTATCAACACTCATTGACGTGACTGCACGTGCACGCAGGTGTCTACACAGGTGCAACTGATAATCTTAACTATTTTTAATTGATTAATTAGTTAATTAATTTAAAAAAAATCGTGGTGGCCTAGTAATTAAAGGCCCACCTCTCGTACAAGAGTTTGAGTTCGATCCTGGCAAGTAGCAATGTGATTTTTCCGAGTCATATGTACTTTCTGAGAGTATTTAGACATCACTGACTGATGAAGGAAAACATCGTGAGAAAACCTGGGCTTATAATGTCAAAATTATAAGTTAGAAATCACCAACCCGTCTTGAACAAGCGTGGTGATTAATGCTCTCAAATCTTTTTCTCTGTGAGAAGAGGCCATTATTCTGCGGTGGGCTCGAATACGCTGATGATGATGATGATGATGATGATAATGATGATAATGACGATGATGATGAATATAATAGGTATTTGCGTCAATATTATATATAGTATGCTTGAATACATTGTTACTGATATTATTTATGTATTATATTTGTTAGCGAAACTTGCAGAAAGTACAAACTACAATTTACAAACAATTTGATAGTATTTACGTAGCCAGTTGTTGAATAAAGCTTTATATAAAAAATATATAATCATTTCTTGGGAATTAATTGAAAACACTTTATAGTCTACTGTAGTTCACCAGAAGTGGTTTAAAATTAATACATTACACAATTATATATATAACTTAATTAACTGGTAAACTTGATAAGCTCTATCACGTTACCATATGTGAACGTTTTTTTACATCGTTTTGCAAAAGAACTGATATCTTGCTCTCTGAACGCAATAAAAAAATGGTAGGAACAACCGCAAGAAAACTGGCTTTTAAATGAACAAAACCGCATCAGAATCGGTCAATCCGTTTTGTAGTTACGATGCCACAGATCAATACACACACAGAGACATTTACGTCGTTATAGCACCTTTCTTTTTACGTCGGAGAATTATGTAAATATAATATAATTAATGCATATGAAACATTCAGGATGTTCAATAAGTCACAATTGAAAAGAAAATTAAACCAGTGTGCTTTAGAACCACATGACTGAAGTAAAACTTCTTTCGCTCCATATACAGGGTGACTGGTGAATTACTATCGATATTTAAGGACGTGGTAGTTGACGATCATATATGACAAAATAAAAATTAATATAACATAAATATTAATAAACTTCTAAGTAAAGTTAAACAAAAGTTGTGTAATTAATTACGCATCGTGTAACCACCCTACAGATTAGGTATACACACACACTCACACATACGCGAGCGCGGCGTGGTGTTGTATCAGCACGCCGCCGCACGCGTCCACACTTGGAACACTTGGAACGTGTCAACACTTTATTTATTTATACGGAAATTTTGTCAAAAATTAAGTGCCTATTTTTTTTACATAATTCGAATGAGAATCATGTACCGAGTATGCTCCTTAAATATTGATAGTAATTCACCAGTCACCCTGTATATGAAATATGTATACAAGTATATACATATATGCACTGGCTATAAAAAGAGAGCGAGAAAGAAAATGTGCCTTGCCTCTATAGTAATATACAAAACTTTTTTCAGTCCTTTAATCTGATCCAAGTATTGCAGGGTAATTAATTAATACTGACTACATTTACTAATATCTCATTTTCTTATACACGTACACATGACAGGTTAAATAGGTTTATAATAAGTATTTTAAAGTTTATCCATTTTTTTTTCTGAAACACAATTACCATCGAACCATGCATCGCGACCGATCATGCTTTTCGTAACGCTTTCACCAGCTTACCTCCAAGAGTGCATAAAGAGGTTTTACTTCAAAAACAATAATAACTTCTAGAATGTTCAAAATCTATAACCAACTAAGAATTGTGATCGTTACCTAAGAAGTCCCTGCTGCCGGCCAGTTTCTCCTCAATCTTCGACTTGATGCACGGCTCGCACGCTGAATGTAAACACTCCATAAGCTTGGGCACTCCATCTGTTTGAGCGAGTTGTGTGTTACAGAACACACAACGAGTACTGAGGAAGTTGGCTCGTGTCGGAGATGCCAGGGAATCGGCATTCTCCTCCGTCTTGCTAACCTCACCGGCCACTGGATTTGTTCCATCTGTGCCGCTTACCTGGAAATCGCTTAATTATTTAATAAAATACTTTATATGGAATAAACTTTCTCGAAAATAACATTCGCTCTTAGTGTATTTTTTCATGACAATAAGTTCGAAACTATTATGTTGTTCGTAATTAAATTTATCTGTAATTTCTAAAATCTAAGCTACACTAATTAAAATTTTCCGAGGCACATAAGAATGGACTAACTGTTGCCTACACTTCTGTCTGCATATCAAATCCCTTTTGAAATATGTAATCACCTTTGAATCAATGAAATCTCATCATTTGATAATTCATTTACACCTTCATCACATCCTAACTTAGAGCCAATGGAACCAGCTCATGGCAACACTATTTTGGTTCAAAAAAATTAAAATTTTCCTTTAATTAAAGGATATGAAATGATACTATAACAAACAAAGTTGAATGAAATTAACAACTTCCTCTTTTTTACTAGTAAGCGCGACTTAATTGAGTAATAATATACCGAAAATGAATGACAATACTTTTAAAAGACCTGACACAATGCTGGGTTGATATTAACAAAACTTACATAAAAACATACTGAAAGAAATAGCAAAGAAACTGGCTATTAAATTAAAATATCCTGATAAAAACAGTTGGTTCTTATTATTTTTTATTAACAATTTATGAATTATTTTTAATTGAGTCATTGTTACTTGATTAAATGAAATAAATTAATAATAATAAGAGCTAAGATGCCATTGATAAAATTTGAATTCAAACATGTAATATCCTTTTTATTCCTTAGGGGTAATAAAATGAAATGTTGAAGTTATTCTTGCTTAATTCCTCATTATAATTTTTTTGCTGAATATCGGATCAAATAAATGTGGATAAATTGCTACCAGTACTGATTCATATATGATTAACATCAGAAATAGTAGGCAGATGGTCAAATTATTACTATAAATATATGCTTCACTCATTACACTATAGGTTGGAAGTACCACTTAATTTTGTTGTAAACCATGTTTGCGATATCATCAAACTATTTGGTTTAAAACACCTGTGATTATGAGGTTAAATTCATCATTCATAATCATAATAATTTGTGTGGTGTACAGATAAAGAGCTTTTCAGAGGTTTTTAAATTAAATGTTCTATTTGATAGAGTTATGACTACTCAACTGATTTTATATTAATAATTATTTATAGAACAACCTAAAAGAAGTATTGCCATTATTCTTAGTAATGCTTGATTCCAGGTGTTAAGTTTTGTGTTAGTCATTAAGAATGTTGTAAATAATTTCATACCTTTTAAGACCGAGAAAGTTAAATTGTTTATAGCTTGTAAAACCCAACTACTAACATTACAATATACTTAATAACTAGTTAATATTAATCGTTAATTCAAAATAAAAACCTAACTTGTTGAATAAAAATAAAACAAAGAAAATGTTCAAGCATTACAGCATTACCCAAGAAGAAAATTTTTAAATCAATAATCTTAAATAAAAATTGAAATTGTTATCGTCATTACGACCGTACATTCTGAATGAACGGATATACATTTAAGTGTACCATTATGTTTAAATAAAAGGTTTTTTGTGTAAATGAAAACTTTACATTAATTCGTGATGAAGACCCCTCGGTGAGTTCGTCCGGAGCCTCTTCTTTGATGGTAACACCTAGCAGCGGTCCCAGATCCATTAGGGCGCGTTCTATCTCCTCACCACACTCACCGCCTGATGGAAAACCAACGTTCTCCATTTAAATTACGGTCATAAAACTTTTTTTACTTAGTTCACTTGTTTTAGTCCCATTTTCACCTTGGAAAAGTCAGATTCGAACTTTCACTCACAGAGCCCGACGCTCGCGCACGTCAACATCACTAATTAGGAACCTTACTTCCAGACGAGCCTACTTGAATATGATTTCTAAGGGTTTCACTATAATATTGTAAGTATTACACTTTTAACACAATATTATATAGGAGTTCACCTCTTCGCGCCCTGAGAAAAATATAATTTCCATTTGTTACATATGTAATTTTTTTTTTATTAACTTTTCCCTAATATAACGTGCGTCCTTTCTGTAGTATACTTCAGATGCGAACTATAGACAACATAGAGCTTTTGTGTCATAATTATAGATTTGCCATTATATTCATTATCGCACAGATTAAAATTATAAATAAGTAATATATTCTTTCAATGTTTTCTTTGTATGCATTTTTAATTTTTTAATATGTTGTTTTCTTCAATTAGATATAAACCATTATGGATGGTTTTGGTAATGTGAAATAAGAAGAAAAAAAAGGAAATTTATTTTTTATTATATATTTTATAACAATACTGAGTGACTATTTTTGTTTATTAAAATATTATTCACTCAAACAAAGTATAGGTATAGCAATTAATGTAATCAAATTATTTGTCATCATTAGTGAATTGTCATCAACTTGTGACATCGTGACAATACGAACACGTCAAAAAAATCATAATCTCAAAAGATGGCTGACTCTGGGCCTAGTAAGAGCGATATTGAGGCAGTTTTTCAAAGATTACGTTCGATTCCAGCAAATAAAGTTTGTACAATTCAATAGGAATATCCAAAAGGAATGCGGTTTTATTGATTGCTCTAACCAAACGTTACGTGTGCAGGTATGTTTCGACTGCAACGCCAAAAACCCTACGTGGTCATCAGTGACATACGGGGTATTCATTTGTCTGGATTGTTCCGCGGTGCATCGCAGCCTTGGAGTGCATCTTACATTTGTGCGGTCAACACAACTGGACACTAATTGGACATGGAAGCAACTGAGGAATATGCAATTAGGTGGCAACATCAATGCGGTATGATGAAATCAATTATTAATATACTTCCAACTCACTATATCAATGTTAAGCATATCTAGACATTGTCTTACATCATGTTTGAGTTGGTATATGTCTAACCTGAAGAATTTTTAACACACAGACCCAGTATTTCCGTTCACATGGACTTGTAACCGAAGATGCCCGTCAGAAGTATAGTTCTCGAGTAGCTCAGATGTACAAAGACAAGCTGAGTGCTATGTCTGAGCAGGCAATGAAGACTTATGGGACTAAGGTAGTTAAAATTTTAATATAAATCTATGTCAAGTGCTTAGTCATATATAAATCAACATTATGAACTAGTTTGAACTATTTAAAAATACTTGAAAGTTAATATAATTTATATGTTTATAGCTACATATTAAAATAAAAAACTCATTTGTGATAATCTCACCCGATCGGTGTTTAAAGTTTATCAGTAATATTATTTGCATATTCAAACCATTAGCCATTCCAAATGACATTTAAATAGCTTCTGTTTGCGACTTTGCTTGTCCTCTGTGCTATTAATAAGAATAACCTTAAGAAATATCTGACAATTTTTATTGAAATATATATAGAACCAAAACTATATATTTTGTATGTATTTTGCCTTTGTTTTGGTGTATCTGTATTAAAGAAATTGTGATTTAAACAGTCATTTGGTGCAATGATATCAACATTTTCTTGGCTTAATTTCGAAACTAAATTACATTCAATTTGTTTGATGATATTGTACAAAGGGTGAACAAATAGTGATGCAATATTCTAAAAGAATTATAAAACTAAAAATTCTGTTCACAAAACATGTATAATGAACAGTTTTACTTAGAAGTTATAGTGCAACCTGCTATTATGTTTAAATTCTCTTATTGTTTTATTAATAAAACATCATTATGTAAAAGAGAATTATTGAGGAAATTTTCTGTACATCTTTACAATTTTGTGTATTTTTCTACCTGAAGACTTTGCTTTAGCCAAACCTATGCATGCAATTCAAAATCCTCAAGAAACTGTGTAATATTTTGCCTCTCTGATAAAATAAGTATCCCTAGGATATTATAACCACAATTATATGTAGTAACTACGTGTTTTTCTAACTTTCAATGTATGCAACATGTTTGTTAAAAACTTAGGACATTATATAAATATTACACATGTAGTGACGAGATATTTCATACTTTTAATATACTTAATTTGTTTAAAGTAACATTATATGTTATTTTCTAGCTTCATATAGAGCAGACAGCCGAGGTGAAGGAAAGCAAAGAGGCGGAGGTAGACTGGTTTGCCGAGCATGCAGAGAGTGCTAACACTAACCATGTCATAACTCAGGTAACATATGCTGCCATATAACTAAGGCAGCCCCATACATTGTTTTTCTATGAAGTTTTCACTCAACATGTAATTCTTTATAAGTATGTAAGTATATATATATGTATTATATATTTACTGTGTATATACTTTATTAATATGTATTCTAATATGCATCTTCATGTTATGTTTGAGTGATTATTAATTTTGTATTAATAGCAGTTACATAAGAACATATAGTTTTATTTAATACATCCATCTTGTATATGTTATATAAAACTTTTCCATAGTAAAGTAAATTATTCACGCCTATTAATATATTCCACCGCTTGTTTAATACACATCATATACTGATTAAGTATAAAGTAATAGTATATTACTATATTAAAACAGCTTTTCACTAACTTAATAAGTTAAATATTTTCATTGTTGTTTATTAATATTGACATATAGACCAACAACTGGTCAAATTAATTTTAAATGATTATTTAATATAGCCATTAAAATTTAAAATTCTAACTTTTGTTAATACATATAGTCATTAAGTAATGTGTTTATAACTTGATAACTCATATTAAGGGAGAGTTCAAGTATTATGTTCAATTTTCGAAAATTTTTCACCCCAATAAGGGTATAATAATTATAAAGCACCGTGTGTTTTTATAAGAAACAAAATAACGCATAGTAACGTTTACGAGTCCCCCTCTCCCTCAGATTGCTTTAAGTAGTACTTGAACGCTCCCTAACTACATTTAAAATGTTATATTCAACAAATTTTTTATATATTTCCAGCCGAATGTGAATGAATTTAGTTCGGAGGCTCGTCTGTGGGGCGCCAGTACTGCCGGTGTGGACACTCCACGACCCTCGGCCACACGGGCGCCCTCTAGGAGACCTGCTGTGAGTTATAATGTATTTATAGTATAAGACCTCTACCGTTTATATGTAAAGGCTGAGCAATTAACAATATTTGCCTATACAAAGGTGTATACGTAACTTATGTCAAACTTTACCATCCTAAACGTCAAATACATAAAATATGACAGAGCAATTTTTTTTTACGCTATGGCTTCATTCACACTGGAATTGTGTAATATTTCGTCAATGTTAATTTTTTTTTATTAACTAGTTTACTGTTAAATTACTGCTAAGTATTTTATATTTAGACATGCAATATCACAAAAATTTTATGTCGTCCTTAGGAAGTATGACAAAGGTCATGCAATGTAATATTTAGGTAATAAGTACTTTTTAAGCTATGACGTAATTTGTGAATAACCTCATATGATCATGTGAACTTCAACTCTAGATAATAAAAGTGGCTGACTAATAAGTAAAGAAGGCTTGACAAAAGTTCCTACTAATATTATAAATGCGAAAGTAACTCTGTCTGTCTGTTACGCTTTCACGCCTAAACCACTGAACTGATTTTAATGATATTTGGTACAGAGATAGAGTTGACCTTGAGAAAGAACATAGGATAGTTTTATCCCAGTCTTTTGAGGTTCTCTTGGAAACGCGATGTAACCGAGCGAAGCTGCGGGCGGAAAGCTAGTATATCCATAATATATACTCATTTAGTAGAAATTATTTTCCAATTTATAGTATAATTAACGTATAAGGTCCATTTAAAGATTTTTTATCTATTCTGATGTTTCAGTTAGGGGTACGTAAAGGTGGTTTGGGTGCTACAAAGGTTGCCGCAAACTTCGAAGACATTGAACGAGAGGCCATTCAAGCTGAGAAACTTAAAAATGAGGTAAGTTTAGAAGGGAAAACATTTATACTGCTTATATTGATGTGTTAATATATTTGATATACAGGGTGACTGGTGAATTACTATCGATATTTGAGGACGTGATATTTGACGATCATATATGACGAAATAAAAATTAATATAACATAAATATTAATAAACTTCCAAGTAAAGTTAACCAAAAGTTATTTAATTAATTACGCATCGTATGAACACCCTACAGATTAGGTATACACACACACTCACACAGACGCGGCGGCGGCGTAGTGTTGTATCAGCACGCCGCCGCACGCGTTCACACTTGGAAAACTTGGAACGTGTACACACTTTATTTATTTATACGGAAATTTGGTCAAAAATTAAGTACCTATTTTTTTTACATAATTCGAATGAGAATCATGTACCGAGTATGCTCCTTAAATATTGATAGTAATTCACCAGTCACCCTGTATAATTTGGATAACTTACCAAAAGTCAAGTAAAAATTTACAAAATATTTACTTTTAATTTACCATAGGATTATTACAGAATATTCACTTCTTAATCTTAAGTTGTACATATAATAATTTTAATATGTCCTAACATTTCCAGTCCAAGGCTGCAGAGAGTTCAGCGACTTTGGAGACAGTAGAGAAGGAGGTTGCTTCACTACGACTGGCATACAGACCCGATGGAGCTGACCGACTGGGGATAGCGGCTGCTAACAGGGCTACCGGAGTGTATGTACTATAATAAAAAAACTATATAATGTAGGATTATAAACATATTTATATGTATAACTAGCTGCGCCCCGCGGTGTTACACGCGGATTTCCGGGTAAAAAAAGTAGCCTATATGTTATTCCTGGATATCAGCTCCCTGTATACAAAATTTTATCAAAATCGTTAAGCCGTTTGAGCGTGAAGAAGTAACAAACATACACACACACTCTTTCGCAATTATCAATATATATTTAGGATTCTAACAAAAAAATTTTAAATATATGTAGTTGTCTTGTAAAGACAGTACTTTTAAATAACAAATTAGAACATACGAATTATTAACTTAATTACAAAGATATAACGCGTTGACAGATACTTTCCCCCGCAAAAGTGAAATAGTGAACCAAACAAATGTAGGTTGGTGCGTTTTATAGTTCGGAATTCTAGTCAATGTTTTTTTTTGTCTATCTCTTTTAAATATAACACAATATACAGGGTGACTGGTGAATTACTATCAATATTTAAGGAGCATACTCGGTACATGATTCTCATTCGAATTATGTAAAAAAAATAGGTACTTAATTTTTGACCAAATTTCCGTATAAATAAATAAAGTGTGTACACGTTCCAAGTGTTCCCAGTGTGGACGCGTGCGGCGGCGTGCTGATACAACAACACGCCGCCGCGCGCGTATGTGTGAGTGTGTGTGTATACCTAATCTGTAGGGTGTTCATACGATGCGTAATTAATTACATAACTTTTGGTTAACTTTACTTAGAAGTTTATTAATATTTATGTTATACATATTAATTTTTATTTCGTCATATATGATCGTCAAATATCGATAGTAATTCACCAGTCACCCTGTATATGGAAATAGTTTTTTAAAATCTTATATACAGATTATATTTAACTAGCTTTCCGCCCCAGCTTCGCCCGCGTGGAGTTCGGTTATATCTCGCTTCCAAAAGAACTTTTCAAAAGTCTGGGATAAAAACTATCCTATGTTTTTTCTCAAGGACAACTATACCTCTGTGCCAAATTTCATTAAAATCAGTTACTTATCAGTGGTTTAGGCGTGAAAGCGTAACAGACAGGTAAAGTTACTTTCGCATTTATAATATTAGTAGGGATTAATATTTATTATTTAATATTCCAGTGGCGTGTCACACTCCGCGGCGTCTGATATGACTACCATTGAACAGGAGGGAGCGGCGCCGTGTGAAAAGTCTAGTGATGAAGATGAATTTAACGACTTCAATAACGTGTTTGTTATGATCAGGTAAATAATATTAAATACTATATACTATAGCATGTATATATGGTGTCAAAACTATACTGCATTCTATTATAATATTTAAATAATAATTGTTGGAATAAATTATTAACTTTGGTAAAATTTAATTTGCAATTGGCTACGTCCAAATACAATGAATCTTTTAGTTTAACTCTTAAAGATAATCAGATTTGCAGACCAGATCTAGAAACATATGTAGTATCCCAATTTGACTTATATATACAGGGTGACTGGTGAATTACTATCGATATTTGAGGACGTGGTAGTTGACGATCATATATGACAAAATAAAAATTAATATAACATAAATATTAATAAACTTCTAAGTAAAGTTAACCAAAAGTTATGTAATTAATTACGCATCGTGTGTACACCCTACAGATTAGGTATACACACACACTCACACATACGCGGCGGGGGCGTAGTTTTGTATCAGCACGCCGCCGCACGCGTCCACACTTGGAACACTTGGAACGTGTCAACACTTTATTTATTTATACGGAAATTTTGTCAAAAATTAAGTACCTATTTTTTTTACATAATTCGAATGAGAATCATGTACCGAGTATTCTCCTTAAATATTGATAGTAATTCACCAGTCACCCTGTATAGAGAAAATTACCAAAATAAGTATTTCACTTCTAAATTCTAATACATGTCTGATGGTAATATTGACTATATCACTTTATTATGTTACTCAACCCTTTTGTTACTTTATAAATTAAAACCTTTATTCATGTTAATACAGGAATGAGCCTTTCAGTAACAGCCGAGGTCTTGACTCTCTACTCAATGACACTCCCTCACGCAAGGAACCAGCTTGGGAGAGTATTGAACCTGAACCGACCCGGAACGTCCGCAGCATGTTTTCAGACAAACCCACCACTCCCAACAGCTCCAACACCCCCAAGACCTCCAATAACACCCCCAGGAACAGACCCAAGAAACAGGACTCCGATGATGACTCAGCTGTCAAGAAGTTTGGTTCGGCCAAATCTATCAGCTCCGCACAATTCTTTGGTGAACAGGTATGATCTGTTTGAATTTTATGATTATTGTTTTGACTTTGTCTTTAGTTCGTAGTATCAAAATAATGTAATTTTAAATCTCTTGATAAATATTAAGATATATAATTACATATAATGTAGGGTTGTAACTAATAGAAGCATCTGTACTTGCGTGTTATTTGTATTAATGCAAACATTGCATCAATCGATGCTTGGTTCTTGCGGATGCGGACTTAAATCTACCACTATAAATTTTGAAATCTTCTCATTGACGGATATATATTTTTCTACATTTTTAACATTCTTGATAAAACCTAAACTCTAATTTCATTATTCATTACTAGTTATATCAATATAAGTGTCATATAATTCAGGATTCCCGGTGGGGTGAGAACAACCTGTCTCGTTTTGAAGGTAGCTCGAGTATTTCATCAGCCGACTTGTTTGGTACAAGGACTCCAACACAACACAACTCCTTTTCTGTGTCAGCACCCGATCTTGATGAGGTAATTATATGGAATGATAATATATATAGGGTATATTTCTGTTTTTAAGTAGAACATGTATAAAAATTGCAATTTTTTATCAAAATAGTTAGATTTTCGTTCACTATTAATTTAAATTTATATAAGGTTTCATTGACTAAAAATCCTTTATCTTACTTAATACCTACAAATATTATAAATGCTCAAGTATGTAACAATGTATATATGAATGAATGTCAGTTACTTTATACGTAATGAATAATAATTTCGAATTTTGATTAAACATTAAGTGTAGCATTAGCGAATTTCGTGTCATTACTATTGATCAAGACATAATATTTGAATTGTTAATGATTCAGACAATAGAGGGCTCTACTGACTGGCTATCCATCTGTTTGAATACAATTTACTTTTCTATAGAAGCTTAAAAATAGATCAAAATAATGTAAATATAGTAAATAAATTATATTATAATATGTATTATATTCTTTAGGTTCGTGAATCAGTGAGAGCGGGCGTAACACGTGTGGCCGGGCGACTATCGTCGTTGGCTAACGGAGTGGTGTCTTCTATACAGGAACGCTATGGTTATTGATGAACACTATCACCTCTAACTTGACATAATAACTTCCATACGGATAATTATTAACTCTATATATAAAAGTTTCATCTATAACGAAATTATATTACTATATAGTTTGACAATATTGTACAAAAAAATAAATAAACTTTATAAGCCTATGTATGTATTATCTGTGCTGATTTGTTTTGATTGTAATTTTGGATTTCAATAAGACTTGTAATGGGCATTTCATATTATTTGATATTTTCTCTGGAGCAAAAAAAATGTGATTAGATCTTATCTCATATAAATACATTTTCCATACAATATGTACACTTTCACTGCAATATTTCGTTGACCTTATTCTGTAACTATTAATTTCCCGCTTAATATCAAAATTGAAATTATATTAATGTAATCTAGTTAACATTAAAGTTGTAAACTATTGCATACAGTTTTTTATAAATATATATAAGTAGAGCAATTTATAGTGTTCTTTATTAGATTCGGCGACAAATAATCGAGCAAATAACTTATAATTAACATGTCAGTGTTGTACATATTGTAGTATCATCCTGTATATATATTATAGTGCAATACATCAGTTACCATTTGGCCACTTCTGTACATGTGTACATTCATTTAATATGAATTGTGTACATATGTGTACATTTATTTTCTTATAAATTGTGTACATATGTGTACATTAATTTATCATTAATTACACTTCACTGTAACCTATTAACTGTACACAGTCACTAATCATTTTTATACATAAAAATATGCATTCCTTTCATTGAATTCTTGCACTTGTGTTGAAATTATATCATCATACTGCATTTAGTATTAATTATTTTTTATGATTTTATTATGTAACATTTCTATGGCCAATATATACATATATATTTTCGAGATATCTATTTAATTTAATATAATTATTTTGATTTATTTAATACTTGAATATTCTATACATTAAATGTAGGTGTTTGTAGGGGATACTGCAGGAGCTTTAGAATAATTTTGTTACTTGGTTTACCTCCTCAATATTATGTAGGTAGACTGTAGAATATTATTTTACTACTATTTTCTCTATACAACAAATGTCACTTCTCATATTTCTACTTACTACCCACAAATTAAATACCGCTTGACTTTTAATTATGACTGAAACATCTCACTAATGATTCTAAACTGGGTCGTGGCATTTTATTCAGCGATTATTTTGTTTGTATAGAATTATTTTTAGGATTTTTAGGTAATAATTATCATTAAAATATACAAAACTATATTTGGAATAAGTGTTTCATTTTTTTATTAACTATGCTAGCTGAGTTTCTTAGCGATGATGCAAACATTTTCTAGCGATACTGATGTAGGCACGTAATGGACAAGTCGAGCATCAAACCCGCAATCCTTTAAGTATAAAACTCTGCCATAATCTAGCAACACTTTAGCTTTCCTCCCTATAATTTCTCGTTGTTCCTGACTTATTTTAATGTTTTTCGTGCCTAAGTCCCCAGCTAATGTTGTATTTCCCGCTTCTTTTTCATTCATATCACTCGTATTATTATCTTTTTCTGTTTCCGTTTCCTGTGAGCGTCTTTGTCTGCTGCGTCCGTCACCACAAGTAGCCCATGACACTATGCCAACGATTACATTGAATTCTTCGGCTGTTATACCCATATTCTGTGAAAGAATGCAAAATATCAATGTTAGGGCAATACTCCAGATATATTAATTATTATTCTTGGCTGAATAGTAAACATAGTTTTTGCTAAACCATATAATCTTAGGCCTCGGCCTCGAATTTTGCGGGCAGCGGAGCGGCAGCGGGAGCGGCAGGATCTTACGCGTATAATCAAATGGACCGACCCTCGAAAACAGCGGTGCCCGCTGGCCGCTAGTTTGGAGAATAGTATGCGTTGCCGTGCCGCCGCCGCTGCCGCTCCGCTGCCCGCAAAATTCGAGGCCGAGGCCTTAGAAAATAATTAAAATTAATGCATTCTATTTTATTTTTTTCTTTGTAATTATTGTTACGGCTCTGGATACGAGTTCTTTTGATCCTCATTCAATTTTTTTTTGCAGATGTTTTTATCGTTCTGGATGTCAACTCCTTGAATTATTATAGTATTGCCCTACTCATAAACTCGTCTTGTCACATTTCACACTTCTTACACTATATGAATATACAGGGTGACTGGTGAATTACTATCGATATTTGAGGACGTGATATTTGACGATCATATATGACAAAATAAAAATTAATATAACATAAATATTAATAAACTTCTAAGTAAAGTTAACCAAAAGTTATGTAATTAATTACGCATCGTGTGAACACCCTACAGATCAGGTATACACACACACACACACACACACACACACACACTTGGAACACTTAGAACGTGTCCACACTTTATTTATTTATACGGAAATTTGGTCAAAAATAAGTACCTATTTTTTTTTTTACATAATTCGAATGAGAATCATGTACCGAGTATGCTCCTTAAATATTGATAGTAATTCACCAGTCACCCTGTATAGTAAAAATATTAAATAAATCAAAGTTAGTGTATATAAGTAGTCATACTTGTAAATATTTATTCGCTATATACATAGGCCGCTCGCAACGATGGTGACAGCATGTAGCTAACACGATGCCCATTACTCTATGTAAGACGACTTCTGATGTTATACAACGCAGTGCATAATCTGTGGAACATAAATATTATGACTTTAGACATATTCATTGATTTTATATAAAAAAAAAGTAAAATTAGTACATATGTTAAAAAATATCAGCTATTTACTATGGGGTTGAAAATTTACTATGGGGTTGAAAATTCCACCAAATCTCAATAAGGAGAAAGGAGACCAAAATTAAAAGAAGAACAATTCAAATAAAGTCAGTCTATTAAATGTTTACCAGTAGCAACACCACACAGATGTTTCGCGACACCCACCACTCTATTACAAGCTTGCACGGCGGGTACTTTATCAAGCCACAAATGAGCTAAATCCGCACGGATTCTATGGGAATTATTTTGATTCTCACTATTCAGATCTTCAGTACTTTTATTATAGCGGCTGTCTCTCAATTTATTGTCTCTTTTATGTCTAAGTGATGCTCGGTCAACCAACAGAACATGACTATCTGTATTCTTGCACCAGGCCCACCAAGCATAGTAGGAGAGATGACCTGTAAATAAAATATACTAACATTATAATTGTGTTTATGAAAATTCTCATGTTTCAGTTATATTAAAGTTAAAATGAATGAAATTTAAATATAAATTAATTTGGATGTAAAAAAATCCCCAAAGTAACATTTGTCTGTCGCAAGTTTAATTAGCAATGAGACGAAACATCTTAGCATTCAATGGCTTCACTGTGCAGGTGTCGGGTCCATCGTTGTAGGAGAGGAGCTTCAACAGTGACTGGGACTTGCGACCCAGGTGTAGGTTTAAGAGGCCCCTATCTAACGCATGTTATACTCTCACCTGCACTGTCCGAGCTCCTCTCTCTACCTAACCAAATTTGAAAAGAACCTACTACGGCTGCCTTCGATGTATGTTCCAAGAATGAATTAATGTTAGTTCTCGTTCTTATAAAACACACCTTTCCCCGCTCCCAACTCTACATAACATGTATTAGATTTCACAAGCTCTTGTTGTTCAACAACATGTAACAATTGTGAGGCTTGTCGGAGATGACGAAGGGAGCTCTCTGTACGACCAGGTTCATTAAACTCGTCTAACACAGCTTTATGGATTGGTTCTTCTGGCAAAGTTATGATTGCATCCTTCAAGTATTCTAAAAAGAAAACATAAAAATCAGTGTTTCCAGTAACAATAATGATATATTTCATATAAAAGGAAGTAGAAGTTACTTATACATAAATATTTTTTATAAGATTATAGTTATACCTACTATCATAGAGACTGTTGACTTTTTCTATCACTTGTAATATTTTTGTGGCCAGTATTTGACTAAGAGGCAGCCGTTTGAAGTCCTCTTCATATGGAGGTATATTAATATTGTGTACTATGTAGTCTGGCTGTTCTTGCTTGCGAGCATTACATATTGAGAGGTGTTTCTCAAGTTTACTGGCATAGCAGGTGCTAAACAATAGAATAGCTGATTATCATACTTATAACACGGAAAGAATACTTCATTTTTATTTTGACTTACTGTTTTGGATCATATGGGCATGGAATGCGAGTGTCATCCTGTAAAACGTAACAGCTGTTTGTTTATTTATAATAAATATTATATGATGGTAAAAGTAAGGCATATACAAGGTATATATATTTAAATGAAACTTATATTTTTCGAATATACTACGCGGTTTATTTTTGTTGAAAAAGTACATACTCCCGACGTTTTGGCTACATTCGTGCAACTGTGGTCACGGGTAGACGAGATGTGAATTGTGAATGTCTGTCAGTACGTCTTGTTTATTTATCACCTACCGCCACTATACATAGTAAATTTAATATAATACTTGCCTTTCCATCTTCAGCCTTAGGTTCTGGTTCGTGTTCTCCACAATAGTTTCTACCTGGTTTTACAGTCATCCGACACAATCTCTTTTTTCTTTGAACAAAAAATCGACATTGTGGAGTGGACGGAATTGCTCCGGAAATATTATCTACTTTATTCATATTTAATGTTCTATTTAGTACATTAACTTTCCATATAACATAATATATAAATACAAAGAAAGGTTATATTATTGATGACACTTCATCATAAAATCACGGTGCTTTTGGAATTTGTATTATTATGAATATGAAGAGAATACGATGCTAAAAGTAATTAATAATGATTAAACGTTGTCTTATCTCTTTTTTATTAAAATATTATAAAATAAAAATATTTTTTTGCGAAGAATTCCTGTATTTATTAAAGTGTGTTTACATTATTTACTATTCTCAAGTCTGGCAATATTTAGCGTACGTCAACACAATTTTGAGGTTAGGCGTCGCATCGTTTTGGTTTGAATTGTTTTTTTCTTATATTATGTAGTGTAAGTGATGTAAAATGAGTTCTCCGACCAAAGAAACTGAAGATCCATCATCTAGCAATGCCGAGAGTGAGGAATACACAGGCGGAAATAGCGATGCGAACACAGAGCAGCGACCGCCCGCCAAGCGGCCTATGTCTACAGCAGTTATTGAAATTTCAGACACTGAAAGCGATGATTCCGATGTCTGCGCTGTTAATTCTTACCAGGCCTCGGCTGACGAGGTGAAAAGAATACGAAGAGGTTAGTGTGAAGTATCCTTGGTTACGGAGTTGAGGTTTTCAAGCTCCGAATTTGCGCGGGAAGTTCGTACTTTTGAATGTCCAACAACAAACATAAATAGTTTCATAAAGGCTTTACGTTGCTTATTTATCACTGTTATGTTAAATTATATATGTTATTGATATTCATGCTATTGATATATACGTTTTGATTACAGATTATTCATCTTCATCATCATCGTCCTCATCATCATCAAACTACAGTTCTGATTCTGACTCGCCATGGGAAGATGACTCCGTAGTAATAGATGACAAAGCAATGGGAAGGCCTGTGATCGCGAAAATGTTAGTTAGAGCTAATAGAATGGATGACCCTAAATTCAATCCTGAACTGAAGGTATAACTTTTACTATTACGAAAATTTTTATGTCTTACTTTATAACTATATATTATATATTACTAGCTAACACGGCAAACATTGTTTTACCATATCAAAAGTAGGGGTTGGTGATAAAAAAAGTTAAAATTTAGGGTTGGGTGTATTTTCTTATGCCACATGATAAAAAAATAAAAACAAACCTTTCATCAAAATTAAAAAAATAATAATTAGTGGTGAGCAACCTGTAATACTTTATTGGTATGACAAATAGATGTTAGCCAATTCTCAGACCTACACAATATGCTCACAAAATTTCATGAGAAACGGTCAAGCCTTTTCAAAGGAGTATAATAACAAACATTGTGACACGAGAATGTTATATATAAGATATATTATATATATTACAGTCTCAAGAGATCATAAGTAAAATTAAATCCCACTGGGAAGAGGAGACCGACCACAGTAGTGACCAAGTGACCTTAACATGCAAGCCGTTCAGACTCTGTCGGATTAACGGCTTGTTAGAGAACTCGGAGATAATTAATAATATAGTTGACGACATGAACACATTAGATTGGTCTAGGAAGAAGATGGATCTGTATGAGTTCCATCAGACCTCCGATTTAGCTAACTTAACGTGGCAGCGTAGTATAAGAGGTATTTACGAATTATTGAAGACTGAAGTTATGACTTGGGTGAGTTCATTATCATTATAATTATAATATGCACAATAAGTGTCATTAATCTATCAAAACTATAAAAATGAAGTGTAAATTAAACTAATATTATTCGAATCATTACATATGCTTTTTTATATTATTTTAAACTACATACTCCCGACATTTTGGTAACGTTTCAGCAACCATGATCATAGGCAGATGAGATGTATCTTAATTTAACTTGTATCTCAATAGGAATAACTTATTCTTGTTAATGCAGTTACTAAAAAGCTTTAATGATATTCTTCATTGAAAATATACACAATATATTCTATTACAAGATATAAAATCTCAATATCAGAAACCTATCTCAATATCAGTATTGTTTTCATCATAATTTAGATGTAATAATTGTTTATAAATACTCAATAAGTTATATAAGTTTTATTTTATATATATGTACTAGAAGACCCGGCGAATTTCGTGTCGCCCTATAATCAAGAAATATCTGTTACGTTTTTTATTTATATTTTTCGAGTTTACCTATTAAAGCTATAAATCTCCGTGTTTTGAAGTGCGACAGAATGATTGACATATTAACTTGTCAAATCTAATGTCAAAAAAAAAAAAAAAACGTTTGTATCAACAACTACTAATAAATTAAAAATTAATTTAATAAACATTGTCCAGCGGACAAAATTGTGAATCTAAACAATTCCCAGATCTCCTTGAATACACACAAAAAATTTCATCAAAATCGGTCCAGTCGTTTGAGAGAAGTTCAGTGACATACACACTCACAGAAGAATTATATATATAAAGATATATTCACTCTTTTAGTATGGTTTAGCTCAATCTTGACTGCATAAATTTAACATAGATTCTTTAGGTGGTAGAGCCTAGCTGTAGTCAGTTACTACAGCTCGAACATGGGCTGGCTCGACCGGGGAAGTACCACCCTCTCACAGAAGATCGGCGTGAAGTAGCCTTTAATGGCTGCGTTTCGTCCGATGAGTGAGAGAGCCGGTTGCCCTTTCCCTATTCCCACCCTTTCCTACCATTTCCTAATTCCCACCCCTCACTATCCCTAAAAAACAAGGTTGGCAACGCATCCGCAACAAAATGTTGCGGATGTCAATGGGCGACGGTAACCACCTTCCATCAAGTGGGCCGTCTGCTCGTTTGCCACCTTTCACATAAAAAAAAAAAAAAAGAATCTAGCTTTACTGTAATACAAATCAGCAGTAAAAATTTATTGGCCATTACCCCAGTAGTGTCCCACTCTCATCCTTATAGGTAGACGATAAACGTTCAAGGCATTCAATAAAAACAATCTTAATTCTTAGTTGATTTCATACTTAAATATTTCAGGTATCACAAGTAACGGGTATAGAGTTAACATCAGTGTCAGCGTCATGTTCATTGTATGGTCCCGGAGACCATCTACTAGTACATGATGACAGACTGGGAGACAGGAGGGTAGCCTTCATCTTGTACCTGGCACCGTGGACCCCACGCTCACCGCCACACATGCAGAACGGAGCGGAGAGTCAAGATAAGGTTACATACAGTTAATATTAATACTATAAACATATATAGTTGGGGATAGTGCAAATCCTTGTAACTACCATTGGTGATTATTTAGTGTTTAATTTATTACTAACTAGCTCTCCACCCGCAACTTCGCCCGCGTGGAGTTTGGTTATATCTTGTTCCAAGAGAACCCTTCAAAAGTCTGGGATAAAAAAAATCCTATATTTTTTTTCAAGGTCAACTCTATGTCTGTACCAAATTTCATTAAAATCAGTTCTGTGGTTTAGGCGTGAAAGCGTAACAGACAGACAGAGTTACTTTCGCATTTATAATATTAGTAGGGATTTTGAAAAATTACCGTAAAAATCGTTAAAACAGAAAATATTTCAGCTTAAACTTTCTTCTGATAATCTGATTCAAATGTAGATACGAGGAATAATCCAATGCTAGTTACGTGGATTTGCACTATCCCCGACGATATATAATATATATGAAAGAAAGTCGTGTTAGTTACACTATTAACTCAAGAACGGCTGTAGGGATATAGTTGAAAATCGGTGGAAAGGTAGCTTAGAACCAGGAGACGGACATAGGATATTCTTTATAATCGAATACTTTATAATCAAAACAGAAAAAAAAACTACAATATCTGGTTATTTACGGCCTCTAGGGCGGAATAGAGTTATCCCGGTCAACTATACATATATTATTAATTCCGAAATTAACGCTGACGAAGTCGCGGGCAAGAACTAATATAGTATAGAATTAGTTGTGCAATTAAGGAATGCCATTAAGACTTCACAATTAGTTGAAGGTGTATTAATAAATAATTAATAAGCATTCATATTTAATATTATACTATATATGTAAATAGTAAAATAACAATATATTATGTACTTTATTTCTATGATAATCCAAATCAAAGTATAAATTGCCAATTAACTTAATATAATTATCTTTTCAATTTTAACAATTCTCTATTATGCAAGAATATATTGAATCTAAAAACATATTAATTTAGGATAATTAATTAACTTAGGCTTTAATCTTTATAATATAGACATTCCTTATTCCTAAATATTCATATACATATACACACAATGAATTATATTATATTTGTATTGTAAGAAAAATTCAAGGCAGGTTATGTTTATTTAAATATATGTTCTTCATATCAATAAGTATCTTTGAAGTATTTTTACTGTCATCATCATCATCGGCCTATCAGAGCCCACTGCTGAGCAAAGGCCTCTTCTCACATGGAGAAGGTTTGAGCATTAATCACCAAACTTTTTCAAGATGGTTTGGTGATTTAAACTTATAATATGAAATTATAAGTCCAGGTTTCCTCACGAATTTTTCCTTCATCAGTCATTGGTGTCTAAATACTCTTAGAAAGTACATATGACTCGGAAAAATCACATTGGTACTTGCCAGGATCGAACCCGCGCTCGTGCATGAGAGGTGGGCCTTTAACCACTAGGCCACTACTGACTATTTATTCTCAATTCCAGTGTTGGAGTGGTAATGGTTGGAAACCACATATGGGTGGAGCGTTGGAATTAGTTGAAGATGGAAAAGTTGTGTTCCGTGCCTTCCCTGCTAATAATACACTAGCATTCTTCGCGGTTGGCCCAACATCCTTTCATCAGGTGAAATTTTTATCTACTACTCTACTAACTACTACTACTAATATTTAATGAGTGTATTGAAATTTTGATTTCTGTAAAGCTGTTTCTAGGAGTTGATATTATCGAAAAACTTAAGTTTCACCAATAATTAATTAATTCTTCTTCTTCCTGGCAATTTCCCAGATTTAGCTAGGGTCTGCGACAATAGTTAATTAATTATTTCAGTTAAATCCAAGTGATTATTTTCGTTTAAATGTCCATGTAAAATCTTAGAATATTTCCATATGAGTTAAAAATGTATGAAGTCGTCGTACCTTGAAATTTAAAACAAATATCCGAACTCACAATAAATGTAATGTATGTAACCATATGAATATTCTGTTATACGTTTTGTTTCCAGGTGGGCGAAGTCCTATCTATGGAGCTCCCTCGTCTGTCCATCAACGGTTGGTTCCACGGTCCCGCACCGGAGTCCGAGGAGCCCCACGCTGAGATCCCCCAACCACTTACACCGCACAACCAAGTGGTGTGTTATAACTTTATATTTATATGAAATTCGTTCTAGTATGTATAATAATAATGCATGATTATCTTTGTAACAATGGATTTTATAATACATTAAAAATATTTATATTAATCATCTAAAGTACTCTATAAGGTATATAAGAAGGATAGAGAATAGATATGGGATTTTATATGTTGAAAGGACTTAGATTGGTAATATAATAAAGTCAAACATTTAACAACAGCCTCTTTAAGCTCATATTCTGAGATAAATATATATTTTTAACTAGCAAGTCTATACAAACTTACTACAAAAAAGTTGTATATTTATATACAATTTACAAGTGATAGCCACCATCTGTTCTATTACAATGTCTGAGTTTAGCCCTAATCGTAATTAAATTCAACTATTACCGCGATAAGATTGTCACTATTGACCAAAATCATATGTAAAGGGTGATAATTATGCTCTAATACTTCTATTCTGCTAAATATAACTTACTAGCTGCGCCCCGCGGTGTTACCCGCGGATTTTCGAGATGTAAAGTAGCCTATGTGTTATTCCTGGACGTCAGCTTCGTGTATACAAAATTTTATCAAAATCGGTTCAGCCGTTTGAGCGTGAAGAAGTAACAAACATACACACACTCACAAACTTTCGCAATTATAATATTAGTAGGATTAAAGTCAGTGGTGGCCTAGTGATTAAAAGGCCCGCCTCTCATGCACGAGGGCGCGGATTCGATCCTGGCTCGGGCAAGTACCAATGTGATTTTTCCGAGTCATATGTACTTTCTAAGAGTATTTAGACATCACTGATGAATGCATTCCCAAAAAGGGTTGATGTCCGGCAAGCGGCCGGTCGTAAAAACCAAATTAGCCAAAACTATCTACAACATGTAAGGCAGACCCTGGCTATAGCTGGGAAATTGCCAGGTAGAAGAAGAATATATCATAATATCACTCTTTATATTTCCAGGTGGTGTTAAAGTCTTGGGTAGAGGCTGGTTACTTGTGTCCCCGAGCTCGAGCCCAGGTTCAAGCACAGATGGAGCGTGCCAGTGAGGTCTGTCTACATGATCTGCTGCTGCCTTCAAGATGCAAACAACTGTTGGAAGCGTTGGAAAAGAATGGTTAGTGAATAACGTTGAATATATATATATATCAAAGAAAAACTCATAGTTTGGGTATAATTAAAATATTATTAGAATCTGGTTATGTTTTTTCACGTAAAAACCGTCAACTGAGTCAATACTGCCGTGATATTGACCACATCATTTATTATCTTCTTCTTCTACCTAGCAATTTCCCAGATTTAGCCAGGGCCTGCCTGAGATGTTGTGAATAGTTTTGGCTAATTGTTTTTACAACCGGCCGCCTGCCTGACATCAACCCTCTTTGGGACACCACGTTACTTATTATGTTTAGAAGAAATAGATATATAAAGGCTAAAACTAAAATAGCAGAGTTTATGATTATTCATCAATTCCTATGGATTCAAACCAAACCAAACGATAACCATATCAACATACTCTATAAAGTATCTTATCAATAATGAATATATTATAATATTCATATGAATGTACATAAATGTTCCAGATATAGAATGGGAGCAGTGTGGTCCGGCTCAGCAGAGACGATATCAACGAGTGACTGAGAAATGGCTTTCAGCCAGCGAACTGTCTGAAGGGACTGAAACAGAAGCCGTTCAGGGCGAAGCGCCCGACGACTGTGGCGTACAGGGGGAGACGCATGTCGTGCGAGCGTTACTAAGACTCCTCAGTAGTACAGCGTTCATGAGGCTGGTCGCCGACTGTACAGATCTACCGCTGACTTCGTATAGGAAACTTGAAATGCAACGCTGGAAAGCTGGGGACTTTACTGTGAGTTGTATATGTATAGCTTATAAAGATGTGTTTTGTTATGTATAATTTATTAACAACATATCGTCGGGGATAGTGCAAATTCGCGTAACTACCATTGGATAATTCAGCGTGTAACAGCTTGTCCAGAAAGCGCGATTCACGCGCGGGTCCACTCGCGAATAGGCACTTGCGCGTTCTCGAGTTACTAGAGCTGCATATATTCCGTCCAGATGCTCTCGCGCGTTACCTCACTCGCGCGTAAAACGCTTGCAATGAGCGGGACTCTCGACTCGCGCGGCGCTCGGGCGTAATACGTAATACTCGGGCGCCGTTGCAGCGTCCAGAAAGACGCGCGTGTCCGCGGCGAGCGGACGTATTCGTTTTTTAAAAATGGAGCGTCAAAAATTTTTATACGGAACTTTTTATTGACGAAATTGAGAACAGCGTTGCTATATGGGATATGGAATCGTCAGATTATTCTAATAGAACTATTAAGCGTAGGAACTGGGAAGAAATAGTAGACATTTTTGTGAAGCAACCGCAGTATCCGAGTCCATTTTTATAACTGACCAAATCCGGCTCATCACAAACGCGCGTGATTTCGCCACATCTGGACACAATACAAAACAAAAGGCACGAGTTGTCTCGCGCGTAAATCGCGCTTTCTGAACAGGCTCTAACTACATACTTACTAATCGTGAAAAATGCCTTAAAAGTCGTTAATATAGAAAATATTTCAGCTCAAACTTTTTTCTAATAATCTGCTTCCAATATAGATACTCGGAATTATTCAATGGTACTTAAACGGATTTGCACTATCACCGACAATGTACAGAAATTAATAAACCTTGATATATCTTTAAAAGGTTTATAAAATAAATCTATTCATATATACCAATTATATTAATCAGTCTTCATAAAACTTATAAGATGCCTTTATCAACATTATAGTTAAACTGATTCCAATACCATTACATGATATATTTTAAACACCAGTCTTTCTACTATATATTATCACTTATTAATTTCCAAACATCTTCCTTGAGCACAATCAATATTACAATTACTTCTTGATCAGAACTCCCATCACATTATAACCTAATATTATCTGTTCCACTAAAAGTATAATCAAATCTTTTTAACTCATTATTTTCATATTAAATTTAATATTCCAGCTTCTACCGCCCCGCGAACATTATCAGCAGCCTCGTTTAGAAGCAGTTCTTTATCTTGGTGTGCCAGAACATCCAATATGTGGAGGACAAACGTTATATGTGGCTCCTGAAGAGGGGTCGTTAGCGGAGGCCGAGGCGCTCGTGACTTTGCCCCCGAGACACAACGCGCTAGGGCTCGTGTACTGCGACGCGGGCGCAGCCTCATTCACAAAATATCTCAGCAAGATGACCATGACGGAGAACGAGTGTTTCTATATAGTGACATGTACTTACACAGAGTGATAAAGTGTTAGTGAATTCTGAGTGATTAATTCACCTTAATGAGATCTAAGATTTTAGAGAGTATTCATTTAAATGAAACTAATATTTTTTGGATGTACTAATCGATTTTATCCCTACTAATATTACAAATGCGAAAGTCTGTCTGTCTGCTACGCTTTCACGCCTAAACCATTGAACTGATTTTAATGAAATGTTGTACAGAGATGGAGTTGACCTTGAGAAAGAACATAGGATAGTTTTTATCCCAGACTTTTGAAAACTTCTCTTGGAAACGCGATATAACCGAACTACACGCGGGCGAAGCCGCGGGCTGAAAGCTAGTTTTTGATAAAAAAACTACATACTCTCGACGTTTCGGCTACTTAACAGCAACCGTGATCACGGACAGACGAGATGACATCTAAAGTAGCCGAAACGTCGGAAGTATCAAAAATATAGTCGCGTAGTACATCCGAAAAATATTAGTTTCATTTAAATATTTCACCTTCTTTGAATATAAATTCATAAAATTTTATGTATGATCAAAAGGCTAGATTGAGCTAGGAAATTATTATAGACATGTACGGTATTAATTTTTTAAATTCAACAAAATATTATTTCAATTATTTTAAAAACAATATAATATGGAGTACATATTATTTATTAACAAAAATCTTTTTTATTGTAATTTAAAAAGTTTGTTAAATTTCTTAAATTGTTACAAGTGAAGTAAAGCTATATTAATAGTCTTTTATTACTTATTAACAATTATTTGTGTGGAGACAAAATTCTTGCGTATTTTGCAATCATTAATTTAAGTATTTTATATACATTTGTTTTTGATTTCATATAAATTAGTTAGTAATTTTGTGTTTTATGAAGGAATTTTAACATGCCTCTGTCAATTAATGGTCTCATGTTGCAGATAACGTAATGTATAAGATTATTTTTGTATAATTTATTACTTTGTAAATATCTCGGTACATCTGATTTAATCTTTTTTTTAATTCATTTGTTTTTTTATTAGCAATAGCTCGTATTAGGTAATTAAGCTTGGACAACAGAAACAATAAACCATATTCTTATTGAAATACAGGTGATAATCAAACTATGTATAAAGTATTTTTGTACAAAGAGGTGACATCTTAGATTTAGTAAAAAGGCTGCATATGTAGTAGGATTTATGTATTGAATCGCAGGCGGACATATATATTAAAAAAAAAAACTATTTCAACCAATGCTTTTAAATTGCTAATAGTATGTTTTAATTTTAAAGCTTTCTAGATGATAATATGCTAGTACATATGCAGCGACTTGCAAGTAGCCTCAAAAGATGTCGCCAGCAATAATTCAATTAGAAAAATGTATTTTTACACATTCAGAGAGTTTACTCATTGCAGAGACTAAATGTTTTGCTGTTTTTATATATATACATATATGTATATGTGTATATATATGTATATATATAAACAGTGTATAATTGATAAATTATTTTAGGTATGAAATAGATAACCGTTGAGAGCGGTTATAGTTTTGTGTTCACTACGATTTTAATTGTAAGCGATACACTATTGTTAGAATTTTGTACATATTGTAAGAGTTCCCTAAATAAATAATGAAAGTTACTGCTGTTTGTTTATTGTTCTACCGAGTCAAAGGAAAATTTATACTAATTTTAAATGACATTTCAAACTATTGAAGCAGGAAAAATGTAGGAAAAATTGTGTATATATATTTAATTATTATATTTAATACTGGACTTTTCATACCATTTATTCCTTGTAAGTTTCGGCACTATATACTCCAACATTAAGTGACAGATTTTATTCATCTGACAATTTTAAGAGATTATTTTTTTCCGCATAGTTTATGTTTCACAATACAAAATCCCTGAGGATATTTGTGCGTCGGCCTCCAGACTAGACATATTTATATTTGCGAATTTTAAAGCGCTTAGTGATAATAGAGCTTACGGTTTCTTGGGAAACCAAAACCCCTAAAAACCATTCCATGAAGGTCAATAAATATTACGAGCTCACTGACGAACTCACTCGAAATAGGTTCGTCGTGGATTTGTACGCGGTAGAGGTGGGAGCGAGAGGTATAACAACTAAATTTCTCTATAACCTACTAAAAGACTTGGGCTTGTCCAGAACTCACATTAAATCATTTTTGGAACGTACTTCGAAGGCACCCCAAGTAGGTTCTTTTCAAATTTGGTTAAATAGAGAGAGGAGCTTGGACAGTGAAGGTGAGCGTTTAGCGCGTTAGATAAGGGGCCCCTTAAACCTACACCTGGGTCGCAGGTCCCAGGCACTGTTGAAGCTCTTCTAGCTCCAACGCGATGGACCCGGCACCCGCACGGTGAATTCATTGAATTGAATTTCGTCTCAAAACAATGTCAACCTTCAATTAAAGTTTAGGTGGAAAAGTTACAAAGTAATTTTTTCATACTAGCAATTATCGGAGTATCGTGTTTTGTTACTAATATAATTATCATTTAAATAAACTAACTGGGTCGCGTTAAACGGGAGGTGGTAGTTTTGAATTTTGGTCGTGTCGAATAATTTTTCATTGTATATTTTTTAATTTGATATTTATTTCTTTTTTAATCCCAATATGAAATTGGATTATTACATTAACCTAGCGATATTAAATTTCAAGTCACTTCAAAATGAGGATTTACTTGATATAAGCTTTTATAATTAACAAGTAACTTACAGAAAAATAATATTTAATTAGTATTAACTTCTCTGAAAACCGTATTAATAAGTTTACAAAATAATAATTATAATCCATACAAAAGCAAATATTTCAAAACATAATATAAAATATATAATATTTTAAATAACTCGGCTGTATGTCGGCGGCCATCGTGTCAATATCGCGCGCTCATCCGACGATATTAAACTTTGAACTAATGTCACTTTGATGGCGCGTCTTACGTCTGAGAGCCTCTGTGTACAACTTGGATATTCTTTGTAAGCTTTCTATTACTGCCAGCTCAGATCACGTACACAATAGAATTCTTATTTTAAGATCAAAACTATCGTTTCAATCTTTGTAATAGTTTTTAAATTGCAGTTACGTATTACATTTTTAACGAAACAGTCTTTATTTGACATTAATTGTTTACTAAATTATGGTAAATAGGTAATGGAATTTCAATTATTATCATGTGTAATATTATATGGTTGGCTCTAGTTTGATAAACGTGGAGATTATCTATTATAAGTCCTTACTTGTAATTCAGGAAAACAAAGCCTTTAAATTAAATTGAATGTATGATATTTACGGCATAATTTCAGCCGTTGGTTTCAAATATTACCTGCACACATTAACAAAATATAAATCAATGTATATTTTTCTTAGAAGCTAGCTTTAAAGTAGGTCAATATTCTCGTTTTCCATATAGCAAGCAAGAATAATATTCTGAAATTGTATTTATGTTAAACGTGTCGACGTTATATATTTTTTAATGACTAATAAATAAATAAAATGTAGTGGGATGTTGAAAAAAAAGGAAGAAAATGTACATAGTGTTCATTGAGTATTTGATTTTGATAGATTATTTTTTTTATTTTATTTTTGCAATACATAGTTTCAAAAAATGGAATAAGTTTGAGAAAAAGACGTTAATGTCATAAGAATTATTCGATTTACTTTTTGATGCATCATATTCATTTTTTAAACGTAGAATTTATGGAAATCAATGAACTCTTAAAACTATGTACCTGTAACAGTTTTTTAAATATATAAATGTATTAATTATGTTAATAGATTTTTCATAATCACTCAACAATTTGAACGTAGAAGCTGGCTGAATAGCTTAAACCTTTACATCTTCCAAAAGAGTTCTGAAGTTTTTTTGTTCGACACGTTCGCGTTCCATTTTTGAAAATAGAACATTTTTAATGCACTACGTATTTATTTCTTTGTGACGAAAGATGAAAAAAAGTTATATGAAGCGTCTTTTTAACGAAATGTGCCAAATATTATCATTAATTAGTTTTTGTGTTATTTTTATACCAATTAAGTAGGAATAATATAACTTCTAAGTTTTTTAAAGTGAAAATAAAATATATGTATGCACCATTATGGAGTTTTTTTTGGTATTCAATTTACGAAAATGTGCAACCAAATACTCGTCAGGTTTACATTAAGCCGATGATGAATGGTCGGACGACGGAAAATTTTGATTCATTTTTTTACTCATAAAGAACTAATCCAGAAATATTATGCTTACATTTCAGTGTTAATAAATTTTTACGTATTAAAATTATCATGAATAGAAAAATATAATGTAAATAAAAAATTCAAATATTTATGTAGTCCGTTAAACTTAAGCTGAGCTTTGCATTTGTGTGAGTGAAAGTAAAAGTAGAGTTAGACAAAAAAATTTAAGAAATAAATTTTATTATAATTTAAACAGATAAATAACATAAGTGCTATAAAATAAGCAAAACTTGTTAAAGGCCAGATGAATTATGAATGTTATGGAAAAAAAAATATTATAAATAAAATTTTTGAAAAATGTACAAATTCTTCTCCACTTGACATTGCGTTTTCAACATTTGATCCGTGCACTCACACAAATACAAAGCTCAGCTTAAATCAAACGCACTATACATGTGTATGTAAATTATTTTTTCCTCAATATTAATTTTAATTTGTTGGTCTAAATTAAAATAGGTTTTCAAATATTAGGAAAACCATTCTTTCATAAATTACCTTACACGATTTATGTGGAAGGGTATAAAAAGTTAGTAAATGTTACCAATATACTAGGCAATGTACCTACTGAGATTGCGTTTAGCGCTTAGTCTAGACTCTAGAGTTTATAGTCTAGACTGTGTTTCAGTCAGTCTGTGATGAGCGAGAAAGCGTGATGACAGCAGTTATTTTTATTTATTTATTTATTTATGTACCAAACAGAAAAAATAGTTACAATAAAAGTATTATAAAAGAAATTTGATGTACAAGGATAACTTATCACTCAAAAGAGATCTGTTCCAGAAACC